AGCGGTAGTCCTTCATCTTTTGTCACAAAGGTAAATTGCTTTAACACAGGTCTCAAGCTGAGCATCGTAACATCCTTAACCTTTGAATCCAGAGGTATAGAGCTTAGACATATACTTAGGCATAGATTTATTTGTAATGCACTCGTTGTCAAAGCCACATGGGAATTTCAGTGTGTTAAAGTGCTAGATTTCTGACATGGCTTTCAGAAGTGAGCAGAAATGCAGTATTACTAATAAATTCTCATCCTCTTTATTTTCCACAGCAAGAACTTATTGACAGCATTAGTAGGAAGCTGCAGGTGCTGAGGGAAGCACGGGAGACACTTCTGGAAGACATCCAAGCAAACAATATACTCGGGGAGGAGGTGGAGTCCATAGTGAAAGAAGTCTGCAAATCAAATGAGTTTGACAAATTCAAGATGTTTATTGGCGACCTTGACAAAGTTGTCAACCTCCTGCTGTCATTATCAGGTCGTCTGGCCCGGGTGGAAAATGCCCTTAATAACCTGGATGAAAATACCTCTCCGGAAGAACGGGTGAGATTAGGCCAATCATAATATCAATGCATTCAGTGACCCTGGTGTGGGGGGTTTTGCTTGGTTTTCTTTGTCTAAATAGCAGAGCTCAAGATGAGGGATAGCGAATGGATAAATCTCGTAAGGCCATTTTCTTTAGATTTCTCTTTGCCTTGCTTTTGCTTAGAATACTGAAACTGTAAGTGTCTTGGTGAAGAAAAAGTGGTATTTGGGGCTGCAACATACTTGAAAGCGGACTACTTAGCCAAAGTTCAAAGAAAGCGGGAACTACTGATAAGGGTGTAAAAAAGATGCAAACAAAAATATTTGAACAATTCAAGATGGGGTAAAGGAGTGTCACTTTGTGCTGTAATGCAGAAGGCTTACAGACTGCTTTATACTCAACGAGGATCTTGATAAAAATCTATAAGGTTGTTACAAGGAAAATATTTCTCATCTACTACAGTTTTCTCCACAATGCCTAACAAGTAACAAGAGCAAGAAATGACAGAAGGACAAGTCATAAAAAAAAGATGGGGGCAGGAGGGAGGCGTTGCAAAAAGACTTTTTCAATAGAAGACATTTTTTACCCAACCAGAATAGCCCAGTAGTGATGTGGAAGAATCCCAGCAAATGTGAAAATTTCAGGGGTGTTCGAGGTGCTTTTACCTGTTGGACCCTACCTCTGCTGGCAGCACTTTGTGCAGCTCCAGATCCCATCAGGCCTTAACTGGGAAGCAGATATCTAGCGATACAGATACGCACCAAAGGAGAGATGTAGACATGTGTGAAACTTCAAGGCTAGAATAAAATAAATGGGGGGGAGGCAGTTATGTCAAGTGAGTTTAGCTTCTACAGTTAAATGAATGTGAAGTGGGATTTTTGGCTTGTAGTTGGGGACTAAAATGTCAGTAGTCCACCTAAGTACTGTAACAGATTTTTTTCCGCGGGCTGTGGATTCATGTTGTGTTTCTTCAGCGTGCTCCGTTGTTTCACCAATAAGAACCAGTTAGTGCTGGGACTAATGTTTGAAGCTGTGTTTTTGCTGTTTGGCCCCAGCTGCTGCCAAACATACTTGTTTAATAGCTGTCCAGACCCCTCTTCGACTGAGGCAAAGGGAAGGTATTTGACAGCTTATTAGAGGGCAGATCAAAGCTTCTGAAACTTAAAGAAATTTAATCCTTCTTTAGACGTCTTTTTTCTAAATGTGGTTGCAGTTGCCTAATGGGCTCAAGGATGGGAGTGTGAGCTGGGGAAAGAGCTACCAGACGATACGAGCACATAGGAAAAACCATTTGAGAGCTGTGATTAAAAATAGATTATTGGCTAGGTGTAGGAAAGGAAGAAGGTGAGTAGGTCATGTTGCAAGGGCAGTCAGAAGTTGTCTGTGTGCTCTGCTGTCAAATTTAGACTGACAGAAATGGAAATCCCTAGCATATTCAAATCCCCATACATCTTCTCATGCACTGACACCAAAGTCTTGCCATAGTAACATCAGATATATATCTAAAAGTGTTGGTCAGAGATGCTTTTCAGATGGATCACATCCCCAGGTACTTTGACTATAAGTGCAATGCATGTAGGGTTACATATCCTGCTTTAGATTTAGACTTGTGCGTGTGGCTTTTTTGGTTGTCCTTTTGTATTTTGTACAATTTGGTATTTTTGTATTAATGTACCATATAAACAAAACAGGGGAGATTACTTCCTTCCCTGGGTATCATATCCCTTGTGATCACAGATATTTTTCAATTATTTTTTCTAAGCTGATGTTGTCTAATAAACATTATTTTCTAGGAACCATCAACAGCTCAGCACACTTTCTAAATAAGCAGTCTGTCAGCAGGCAAATTATCACTGCTGAATTAATATTCTGACTATTAGATGCTCTGTCAAAGGTCTCTTTTGGCACAAGGAACACTATCAGGTATTTTAACTTTAGCTTCTGAAAGGGGCTTCATCTGAAAGAGCTACCAGCCCTTTTCCTTCCACACCCTGAGACCAGTGTCTTCTCATTACTTTCTTTATCAGCCAAAGCCAGGGTGTGTTGAGAACCTTAAAGCACTGAACCAGCAGTCCACAGATGTGATCAGGTGCCTAGACCCACAAAACCTGTTATTGCAAGACTAAGGACAAGTACCAGGGGTAGTAGTTTAGGACCCGAATGCTGGGAAGTCAAATACCTGGAGGGAGTCTCTCTTCATATGGCTGTGGTTCAAAACAGTGAACAATTCTTGAGAAAGACTCAATAGAAAGAGCCAAAGATTGTTCCATGAGAGGAGCTTCAGATGGCCTGTGTTTGGCTGGGGCTTCAGAGCAACACTAACTGTGAAAAAACCTTTCTGCACTCTGCTTGGCTTTGGTTGGTAAAGTCAGTAAGATGAAACCATCCGACCTCATTTACACCTTTAGGCCTGGCGAGCCATTTACCCATTGCTCAAAGAACATCCTCAAGAATGGTGTCTTGAGCCTTCAGTGTTTCACTTTACCCTTCAAAACAGGCTTTCTGGTGTCAGTAGTCTTTGACAGAAGTAAAAGCAAATTCAAGAGTTATCTCATTTGTCTTCTACCTTTCTGCATCCCACTTCTGATGTATTCCCTAAACCTCCACAAGGGCAGAGGTACTAACATGTCATGCAAAGTTCATAACAAAAGTAGTGTTTACTTTCTTTAAAGTGTCAGGTTACTCATGTTCATCTTAAAGTCATGCCCCTGGCTTGGTAAGAAGAAACCATACAACTTATATCTGAGGAATTGTTATGAAGGACTAAATAATGAATTGTTCTTGTGTCTGTTGACAATGATAGCCAATGGCTTGAAAAAACATTCACTGAAATGTTTGGGTTGGTTTGTTGTTTTGTTGTGGTCTTTTTTTCATTGAAAAACCCTCCTATTTCATCCCAAGGTTAGTCAGGTAACTCTACAACTGAGCTACCAGCTGGTTGATCCCTGCCCTCTTGTGTTCATCAAATTCTGTCTAATTCTTCTACTGCTCAGTGTACACACAGGCTGCAAGGCTGCCCTGGGGAGTGGTCTAGCCACGCTCCCGAGTTTGGGTTTGGTTGCTAGTTCCCCTGGGGAATTTAGGAGAACAGTGCTTCCATCTCTTTGCAGCAGATAGTTCTGCTTGCAACTTGCAGTGGGATTTTTTTCCCTGGCAGACACTCAAAAGGAAGACTGAACTGTGTTTTTTCTAATAATGTGTGATTTCTGTGACTTGTCTTCCATAGCTGTCTTGAATCCTGAGTTAATCCAGGCTGTATATTTTAAGTACATTGAGAGTGCAAGCCTGAAAGTGTTTCACCCTCTGAGCTTTGTGCTGTCTATAGAAAAAGAGGCGGCACAGGATACATGTGCAACTCTGACAGATAGGTCTATTAGAGTTTGCTGGTCTGTATCCTGCTTTGTCTCATACTTCCATCTTGAAAAGACTCTATTTTGTAGTCTACAAAACACTTTTCTGTAAATCCTTTAGGCTTGTTATGGCATGTGTGATTTAACATAAAGTCCAAATGAAAAAAAAATTGACACATTTATTTGAACAGACCGTGGTTTATTTGAAGACATAAGTTCTCAAAGAAAGTTCATCTCTGAAGCAAAGCTAAAAGTTATGGAGTGGTACCTCTTAGGGGTACTTTTTAATTAAGTTCAGAAGTCTACAGGAATTCTTGATGTCAGAGTACGCCAGCCATACTCTGTCGCTGGCAAAAGGCAATCAGTTCTAAGCAGACATCTGAAATAGGTCAGATTAATAATGCTCCTGTTTCTTTCAATATACTGCTAAAGGAGTGTAGCTGAGCAATTCAGGTGTGGCTGTCTACTGTGTAGACAGGTGAAGCTGGGTGAGATGTACCTCACCCTACGTGCTCATACATGTGTGTGAATGGGATATAATTCCTGTCGTCTTTCTTTGTGGGTTCCTCCATTCAGCCTCCCTTTTTCCTATTTCATCTCTTGTCAGGGCATGAAGCAGAAAGTTTACAGCCCATTTGGGAAGATGGTGCTTTTTTTTTTTGCCTCCCACTTTTTTCTTCCCTTCTACTGGCTTGCCCCAGCTCTCACTCATGCTTGTATCTTAATACCACACGACTTTGTCTCATGGAGAAGCTGTGCGGATTGCAGCAGAACTACGAAATACCGCAGTGTCAGGAGCTGTGCAGTAACAAATCGCTCCATTAATTAGTCTGTTTGTGGGTTCTCTAACCACAGCTGTTTCAGTGTGGAAGTTTGGTGCTGTGTATTGAAGGTGTAAGACGTTGCTGAGTGCAATCATAATTTGGAGAACTTGGATGTTTCTCAAAGGCAACTGTATTTTATATAACCATTTTGAACTATTAAATAGTAAAGTAGCCTTTGAAGTCCTTGCTGTTGAGGCCAATAGAAATTAATGGTGCATCTTTCATTGATTCACGACATTTTTTTTCCTGTTTGTTACTTCATTTTATTAGAATAAATTTTAAGGAGCAATCTTAGTTCATCTCTCTAAGTATTCAGGAAAGTCTTTGTCTTTGCAGATAAAACAGACTTGAGACTTAAATACTGAAGCTGTTGTCCCAACCTAGTGAATCCAGTGAATTTTTAACTTGTTTTTCTTTTCTCCTAAGCGGACATTGGTAGAGAAGCAGAAGCTGCTGACCCAGCAACACGAAGATGCAAAGGAACTGAAGGAAAACCTGGATCGTCGAGAGCGCATTGTCTTCGACATTTTGGCAAACTACTTGAGTGAGGAGAACTTAGCAGACTATGAGCACTTTGTAAAAATGAAGTCAGCCCTCATCATTGAGCAGCGAGAGCTTGAGGACAAGATCAAGCTGGGGGAAGAGCAACTGAAGTGTCTGACAGATAGCCTCCAGCCTGAACGTCTCAAATAAGAGGTCTGAGTTTGACCAAGGATGTGAAAAACAGGAAAGAAGGAAGGGATGGGGGAGTTTCCAAGTATACAAATGAGTATCTTGGCTTGTCTGAGTGTCCGGTAGAGAAACAAGTGCACAAGAGAAAAATAGCTCTCACAACAGCAATAATGCTCTCTTTCATTTTTTTGGGATGACGTATTTAATTTTTTAGGACACATTTTTATTGCTGGACTCTACAGCTGTTTCTCATTGCTTAACTTACAGAAAACTCCACAGAAAAGGATCGACTCAACCTTTCTGCTCAGTAAGTTGAAAGTCTGTGGCAGTTGTGCATGCAAACAGCAACGTTTTTTAGAATAGGTTGTATACTTTCTTTATGTTCAGATGCTGAACAGACTGCTGGGAAACCCAACAGCAATTTATGAATGCACACAAATTTAGAAGCTCTAAATTTAGTGGCTTTTTATTTTTTTTAAAGACACATTAAATAGGGGAAGCGTGCATCTTATAGCTAATATATTCAGATTGCTGAAATGTAGTGTCACTCTGATCCTGTGGCATCAGACACTTTTTTGTAATATTGTATATAGGATGGCACTTTCCCCTTGCAGAAGACAACTTCACAGTCGGTCTCAGTTAGACACTTCTTAAACCAGCTTGCAAATCACCTAATACTACCTTGCTGAAGATTTTTTAAAAAATTATTTTGCAAGACATAGTTGTATACCCTCTTACTGCAATGCAAGTGATTTTCTTTACCAAGTTGTACTTGATTTAAGAAACAGGCTGGAAGAACTGTGCTGATGTTGTTCAAAACATTTCTCATCTAAATTATTTAGAAAGCTCATTTGCTCTTTCTTGTGCTTTTTATGCATGTTTTTATTCTTCCTCCCTCAAAACCGCTACACTTCATGGAAATAAATGTAGGCTAAGGACACTGCTTCTGTATTTCTTCTGATTGCTAAACATTGTGATGGTTTTATATAGACAGTTAAGTTATACTGAAGTTGACCTACATAATTCTGTTCGTTCTTTCCTCTTTCTCAGACGACCAAATGCAATATAAACAACTTCTGCCATGTAAATACTGTGCATTACTCAGAGCAACTCTGCTTTGTAACTGTGAACATAAGTGGGTTTTGTTTGTTTGTTTTTTCCATTGCACAATGATAAATGAGTGGATTCTAGTTCACAGTATCAGATCACTGGTTGTGTTCTAGTAATACTGCCATTGGCTTACAACAGATGATTTCCAGTAGCCCTAAAAAGAGGTGCTAGCTCATGTTTTAGCACAGTAATATGTTATGCTGACTTGCTCAGATACCTACGGAGAAATTCTGTAGTGTCAAAATGTCAAGTTTTATGTTAAGATGAAGTTTTGCAGGCAAAGGAAAGTCTTGGATGACTTTGTGTATATGCCATTCACATTGTAGTACAGAAAACGTTTATCTCTCTGTAGACAACCAGGTTGCCCAACAAGAAGCCATTTTTGAGGCGGATGTGATATGCCAGTCTGTAGCTAAGCAGGGTGAAAATACAAGTAGTTAGGTGTTGAAATGAGAGAGAAAATAATTCTTCACACTGTTCCTGCAGTGGCAGCATTCACAAAAGGTTTTCTGTCCTTCTTACCTGAATCCTCTCTTCTGTGAGGAAAGAACCAGAGAGGCGCTGATCAGAGAATTCCTTGCGAGCTGGGGAACTGGGGAGCACAACTCTGGAATCAGTTCCTTTACAGACAGGTGCAAACGTCAAAAGGACTGTTGCCCCCCTTATAGTGCACTACTTTGTATACCTGGACCAAATTTTTAACGAAATTATATTGATGTGTATCAGTTGAGGTCAAATGGAGCTACCATTTCACAAGACCTACAGCTGACCTTAGTTTCTTCTTCCTAGTTCAGAAATGTAGTCTCTGGCATCTCACAGTTATTTGCTGCTATGTTCCTAGGACAAGTGATCCCTTTGTCCTTAAACTTACCCCTTAACCATAACAAACCCAAAACTAAACAATTCCCGAATAAATTATGCTTGTCTTTTAGCTTGGAGAAAAGTGTGCATTGTTTTATCTGTGGCATTTTAAAAATTTTACATATTGTGGTTACTCTGAAATGTGTATGTGAAATGTGAATAATAATATAATTACAATGTGTTTGTATACAGTACTTTGATTTAGATTTTTCTGATAAAAGGTAGCAATATCGTGAATGCTATATATATTATCCTTTTCACAGAACAGTTGCGTAGACACCACTCTCTCCTTTCCTTTTTTAAAGCTGTGTTGAAAATCTCTCACCCTGGGAACCCGAAGTCAGTTGCCTCCCAATGTTATATGTAAATCTGTAAATAGCTATACTGTTGCTTTTTGAAAAAATCTGGTGCTAATGTTTTGCCTTCGGCATCCTGGGGATGGCTGTTTCCTCACCTTATGTTGTTCTCCATTCTAGATCTCTTTGTATAGTGAAAGATCTCCACTATGTTTCTCCAACTGTTTGGATCCTGCAGCCCAGAGTGAAAATGTACAGTTTTCCTGCCTGACACTTAACACTTATCTACTGACAAATGGTATTGCTTGACTTTGAGAAAATAAACTGTATATTTCAATGCAGAGTTAGTTTTTGTGTGCCGTTTTAACTGTCAAAACCGACTGTTTTGCTGTGCAGTTAGCCGTCTTGTTGTGCCCATCAACGGTGCCTATAGCTTTTAAAGGCCAGGCCAGTTATCTGCTGGTCTGAAGGAGCTTGGTGTCTTTTCACCGATTTTTTTAACATGTTGACTTAACTGATCATTCTCAAGTTCCCAGTGTAAGGAAGTACCAGAAATATGTTCATGTCTATTCAGTATTTTAAGTGTGTGAGTATGAGAGAAAGGAAGATGTGTTATGAGGTGGATAAAATAAATCTGTCTTTCGCGACTCACAGAGTATGTACCAGGGAAGGAGTTAAGGTTTTTCTACTTGGGCAATTACACTGTTTTGTCTTCATCCCATGTTTAGAATGATACTTCATATGGAGATATCTAAAGTCAGTGGTTCTTGAGATTTTTTGCAAGAACAGATCACTGTGAGCTGTCCATCTCTTACAGACTTCCACTGAAACTGTTTAATTTCAATTTAATGGGGGTTCTCAGATTAACTGCAGAATCTTCTGCCTTATTGGGAAACACTGTCAAGTGTGCACAAATTTGTTGTAGAGGTGAGCATAGATAATGTTTTATGGCTTGATAAATCATCCTAAAAATTGTCTGTGAAGGTTTTTATCATAGAAACTATGTGGGAAAAGCAAGTTAAGGAAGGAAAAATACTTGGGTATTTGTAAGGTTTTTCTAAACTTCTAACGATGCTTTTCTCCCCGTTCTCTTCCTCTGCATGTCCATGCAACCATCTCTTTGTGCCTGCTTTCCTGGCGCTTGGTGTAATCCAGGATGGCAGCTATTCTGAGTTGGAAAAAAATTGCTTTTCTTTAAACTGAAATTAGGCTCTTTATTTTCTGTTTTGGGGTATTTGAGGCCCTCGGATTTCAAAGGAGTCACTGTTTCACAGTGTTCTTCCCTAAACCAAGCTCTGTTGATTAATTCCGGTGTACTTAATTGTCTCAGTATTTACAGCTGAAGTAATCTGTTGGCAGTCCAGTAGCTAGCAAGGCATCATGATGGGTGCGCAGCAGAATAGTAGCTCCTGTTTTAATGGTGTCCAGTCATTTATTGTAGAAGTTCATAGGTTTGTCCTAATTAAGGTCTTCTCAGTTGCAGAGTTTTTTAGAGTATAAATAGTTTTTTCTACATACTTGGGCGGAACCTGCCCACAGAGTAGATGTTATAAAAATCAATAATTGCATCTTAAAAGTGCCAGGCTAAATATTGTCAATTGTCAGCAGTGGTAAATTCGACATCACATTCGTTTACTACAGTTTGAGTCTGTAACTTAACTAATTATAATGATCCACAAATCGTACAATGGCTTACCTGTGTGGTTTAGCAGCTCACCTCTGAAATCCTGGGTTTCATTCTCCCTACCTACTGTTTTGATAATGTTTCTATGAATAAAGTTGTTCCATTTGAAGTAGGTTAACTTAATTGTAATTTAATGCACCTCAGGAGAAAATCTGATCTGAAGTAAATTCAGTGTAGTTCAAACAGCAGAAGGTAATTTCCCTCCCAGACTACACCAGCACACCTACAAGCAAAGCACATATAATCTTTTCAAGCCAGGCCATGCTTAGGACCTTTTACTCAGTTGTAGCCGTGTGAGCAGGTACTTTATACTGCTGTTGTTTATCTCGGGCTCAGAGTTTTATTTCAGTCAAAACAGTTGAGCCTTTCCTGAGAACAAGGCTAGTAAAATGCACTTTTTTTTTTCCCCTCTTACATTAAAAATTCTCCCAAAGGCTTCATTTTTAGGTGCTTTGATATCTCTGTCTTGAAGTTTGGCAGGAGGACGTGGCCTTGTGACAAGGCTATGCCTTCTGCTACTGCCAAACATGTCCATATCAGTGCAGTCTATTGCTACAAATCTAATTCTCATTTCCTCTCATTCGGGTGCAACAAACTGCTAACTGGTAAGGTAACAAGAAACTTACCCACTAATTGCCATTACCTATTGCTTGCTGCTTCTTTTAAAAACCTTGCCTGGTGCTGGCTTCTGCCATGGGTGGGATACTGAGAATATCTGGACTACTAATGCAATGGTTTCTGGCATCTGCTGGGATGAAGCAAGATGAGGAATTCTGTGCATCTCCTGCTCGCTAGGTGCAAGTTGTTAGCCTAAACTACAATAGCACCACTAAAGAAGAACCAGATTCCCACAACACACCCACTTCATAGAATCATAGAATGGTTTAGGTTGGAAGGAACCTAGAGGATCACAGAGTTCCAACCCCCCTGCCATAAGCAGGGACACCTCCC